AGGGCTAAAACCGGCCCTACGAGTAAACTGGAAGTCCGTTCCCGAATTTCCAGTTTGCCCATAGGGCCGGTTTTTCGTGCTCCGGGAGCTGCAGGGAAGCCTCCGGAGGGCAAAAAATGGCCTCAGCTTCTTCATCACGAACCTATAACATGTTAAATGCAATAGAATAGGATACAAAGATGTAACTATTCTCTAATATTAATTACTTTTTAGTAGTAAACTTAGTTAATAAACATACACTTTGTGAAATCTTTCAGAGTGTATGTGCTCTTAAGTGGTATTTCGGGATACAGTTTGAAAAGCGAAGATCTGCTTTTTAAAACGATGAATTTGCAGTTTGTGCCTACTTTCTAGATATCCTTTGACCCAGACATTGCATTATCTTTTGTTACTGTGGGAGTCTGTACTTAATTAGAATCAATAAAATGGCCAATATGAGCAAGAAAAAAATGTCCTTGTATTTGAAGGGTATACTATGGGTATACTATACTATGATCAATTTATTAGAAAATGGCCTCTTCATCATCTAATTTATATTGGCTGCCCAGACTTCGATAGCTGTCATCCTTTTATAGTGTCGAGAATTGAACGAATTTAAAATACTTTTTAAAGTATTCATTTTTAATCCCTGATATTGCTGGTTTGGTATTTGAGACACAACCTTCTTTCCCAAATTGATTTAATCTATAATTTTTGAATTCTTGAACAAATATATTATCTGGAGAGAAAAACAATGCCATGATGTTAGAATTGTTACAGTAATTTAATGAACCTTAGTTAAGGTCAATTTACACTTGGAGAAAGCCTATATGGCAGCATAATTTTATGGTAGGCTATTAGGTTTTAAGCATTTTCCTTCATCATTTGGAGATTTAACTGCTGCTTATAATTGGCCTTTATTGTACTACATGGAGAAATACATAATATACAAATTGTCTACTTTATAAGAAATAAATGTGCAAAGTAAAATTTCCTGTACCTATCCGATATTTGAGAACTTACTTGCAAATACAGGTAATCCTTATTTAGTGACTGCAATTGGAATCAGCAACTCGCTTGTGAAATAAAGTGGTTATTAAGTGAAAAATCATTGGAGAGAGGAAGGGATTACAAGAGAGTAAGCAGGCACACTGTGGAATATACAATTTTAGCAAAGTGCTAGTACTGGCTTTTTATTTTTTATTTTTAATATGCTTAGGAGACAAGCTTTAGTGTAAAACTGGATAGGGTCTTGTTGCAAACTGGCTAATTAAGGTCACAGCTCAGCCTGTTACCTTGCCATTAGCCTTTTTTAGGGAAGACGGTACTGTAGAGGAGAGCAGGTCAGGAAGTGATAGCTTGATTGCTCGCTGCTCTGCTAGGAGGGAAAGAAAAAAATTGGTCAGGAACAGGAGAATGTGTACTAACTGCATTGAGGAAGAAAGACTAATACGAGAGGCATTGCAAAGATCAGAAATGCGGATGTCGGTCACAAAGTTACTTTTTCCATCACTTTCATAACTGCAAACAGTTACTGTCCAAGGCTGTCTCTAAACAAGGACTATCTGTATAGCCAATATTTGATCATTAGAATTAAGTTGTCCCTGGTCATATGTCAACATTTTATCAACAAACAGGTAAAAATGTCAAGTCTTTTTCAGACCACTTTCTGAAAATTGAGCATTGCCTCTACTTTCTTGAATAATTGCAGAAAAGGGCAGTCTTTCAAAATTCATTTGAAAGCCTAAGAATCACATTCTTTCCTTTCCACCCAAATGAATGTTAAAGGTGGGGTGGAGAATAGAATTGAACAAAGAAACAGTTGGTCACCACTGCCACTTGATCTTCCAGGAACAGTAGAAGATCCAACAGTCTCGTGTCATATTTTAAAAGGAATAATGTGGCTTCCAAAAGAATTTGCAATTATGCTGGATGATTTATTGAACTGAACTACAGTTTATTCACATAAGTCTTAATTTCTCACTAGCAGCATCAGTAGTCTTATTAGCATTAGCTCAGGGGTGTCAAACTTGCACCATCACGTTTTCCTCACGTGATATATCATGACTTCTCCCTCTTTCGCTAAAATGGGGGGGCATGGCCAGCGTGTGACACATCTGGTCCGTAGGCTGTGAGTTTTGACACCCCTTCATTAGCCGAAAAGTAAAAATAAAGTTGTTTTCGCCTGGTCATTTGATCTAATACCACCTTCTAAATTCAATGATCTCCTTTAACTTGTAAATATGTTGGAAATAGATAGGGAACAAAATATAGAATTGAATGCAAAGGCCATTTCTCAACACAAAAGAGATCTGGAACTGAGTCAAGTATGTTCCCAGCCCTTCTAGTTTCATAATACTTAATCTTCTTTTGCCTCTTTTCAATTACCAGGTATGTTGATTTCGTTTTTCAAGAAAATTCCCCATTAATAAATGAATACCTTTTTGTTTATATATTGTATTAAAATATTAATTGTTGAATATGTTACAGTAGATTGGATTCATATATTTCTAGCACATAAATCGTGGTTGACATACAATCGCTAGATTTCCACAAGATTCTAAACCAAAGCTAAAGAGATCTAAGTGGCTTAGCAGAGGAGTGTCAAACTCGCGGCCTGTATGCATCACACACTGGTCATGCCCACACCCGGGTTAGTGAAGTGGAAAAAAAATCACTATACGTTACATGAAGACAATGTGACTCCACGAGTTTGACACCCCTGGCTTAGCATAATGTGAATCCCATCTGTATGTATTAATATGAAGATTAGAAAAAGTAAGCAATGTTTTAACTCATAAAAAAACCCATATTGTTTCTGGCATCCTCCTAAGGAATCTAGTACAAGTTTAGGCAAAAGAGATTCAGAGATAGGGAAGGTAGTAATATTCATATTCTAAATATCTGAAAGAAGATGCCTTTTCTTCATAATAACTCTGGTTAATTATGTTTGAAGTTTGAAGTTTTGTTTTATTTATATGCCGCCCTATTCCCTGCAGGGACTCAGGGNGTATATAAGTCTAATTGCTATTGCTATTATTGCAGCCTGATGCAGTACAGCTGATTGGTGGTGGATCAGACTGCTGGAAAAACCCCTATTAGCTGTTCCAGGCTGCAGGGATTGCCACAGACCATTGCTGCCTCCATGCCTCACCTTTTTGGCCTCTGGTGGAGCTAGGTGGGGCTACATTTGGTGTATAATATGCACCCAGATTTCCACCCCTTTTTGGGGGGGAGGTGCGTCTTATACTCCAAAAAATATGGTAGTTGCTACTGATTAGAATATATGTCACATCTTATTTAAATTTGATTTTTAATTTGCAATTGACCTCATGAGGGCCACACAGGGACTGCCGAAGAGCTGGATGTGGCCCGGGAGGCCGCAAAGGTCTGCTTTAAAGAAATAGAGGAATAAATCTATTGTAACCATATAGATGTAAGTGAAAATCATTAGTGATATATTATTATAGACCTTTGTTGCGTGATTGTAGATTTTAATAATGCTATAAAACAAGATGCTTAATAATGCTGTAAGAAAGATATACTTAGCATTCCAAATTTCTCCTGGGCATAAAGATACCTTGAGATCAATTTCTTTGAGAAGGCGTTTTTACTGGAATGGCATTACTAACAAGACATTCTCCCTTTCTTTTTTTTCCTCCTTCTCTTTCTCTGAACCTACTATAGGATTGTTTTCCTCATCGTGGCTTCTGTGGATACCATGTGGGAAGATTCCTTCAGTAGCTACAAGGATTTTGTGGCCAGTAAGTTGCATTTTTTGTCTGTCTGTCTGTCTGTCTGTCTGTCTGTCTGTCTGTCTGTCTGTCTGTCTGTCTCTCTTCCCCTTTCAAAACCTTTGGGAATAAAGTATATTATTGCTTGTGCCCTCTTATCTTCATTACATGGAGAGGGAATGGCAATTATGATTCTGAAAACACAAATGTGATGAGGGATTAGAAAATGTCAAGAAACTAATAGAAGATGGTTGGATAAATTCAATTTCTGTTCTTTATTTGATATGCTTGAGAACAAAGGAAAATACCAGTTTATACAAAGGCTGTTTTCATTTAAATTGGAGAAACATAAAGCTTTTAAAATGGCAATAAATTTCATTGAAGCTTGTTATCACATATAGTTAAATAGCTTTAATTAACAAAATGAGTATCCTTAGGCTCTTCAAACAACCTGATCTTTAGAATTTTTGTTATCTTTTCCTTCATTGTTCTAAATTCCTTCCTTTCTGTTTTTGAAAAACAGAAAAAAAGCTATTTTAATACCTTCTTCAACCAATAAAACACTACCAATGCTGGGTTTTTTTTTTGCAGGATAAAAATCAGAGATTAATATATTTAGATGAAATGTCATTATAGATTATAAATTTAAATTATTTTTGCACATAAAGTTTCAAATGCAGTTTTCCAAGCCATCTACAGCCGGTGTGATTACACAACAACCAAGAAGTCTTGCATGTTGCTAGTCATCTGGTGTTCTGCATGGGCTGTAACCTACCTTTATGAATTCAGTATGGACTAAGAGCAAAATGAATAGCCTTTGTTTTTCCTCAATTCTATTACATGGACTCCCTGTAAATAGTTGTATTGATCTCACATCTTCTCAACCATTATGCAATTAGTTTTAGAGCAGTAATGGTGAACCTTTTTCTTACGGCATTCCAAAATTGTGCATACACGCATGTGCCCACTCACCCCTGTACCCCCACCTGTGCATGCATGTGTGACACCCCCCTGCACATGCAAGCACAAGTCCCTCCCCAGGCTCCGGAGGCTTTCCTGAAGCTTGGGGAGGGTGAAAATGACCTACTCCGGCCTCCCAGAGGACCTCTGGAAGCTGGAAACAGATAGTTTTCCGGAGGAATTTTGCAGGATTAGCCAGGATTGGGTATTGTGATGTCCAATTGGCCTCGAGACAGTACCCAATCCTGGCTAATCCTGCAAAACCTCCTAAAACAACAGTTCAGGTAAGACCAACTGTCATTTCTGAGTTTCCAGTTGGCCTGTTGGGGCCGTTTTTCGCCCTTCCCAGGCTTCAGGAAAGCCTCTGGAGGTTGGAGAGGGCGAAAAACGCCCCCAACGGGCCTACCGGAAGTTCATTTCCGACTCATTCCCAACCCAAAGGCCCCTTGACTTGGGTACCTGAGAGACCACCTCCTGCCAATTACCTCCCATAGACCGATCAGATCTCACAGACTAGGTCTTCTCCGGATTCCATCTGCCAGCCAATGTCAGCTGGCGACTCCCCGGGGGAGAGCCTTCTCTGTTGCAGCCCTTTGGAATGACCTCCCCGTGGAGATCCGGACCCTTACTACTCTCCCGGCCTTCCGCAAAGCCACTAAGTCCTGGCTGCTCCAGCAGGCCGGGGGGCTATTGAAGTACCCAGCCCCACGGTAACTATGAATGTTGTGTATTTTAAAGTGTTGTTTTGTCTATTTATCCCCTTTCCTTGTTTATTGTAAGCCGCCCGGAGTCCTTCAGGAGTGGGCGGCATATAAGACCAATAAACTACTACTACTACTACTACTACTCCCCTGACTCCGAAAGGGTGAAAAATCAGCTGGCTGGCGCGCGTATGCGCACCAGAACTGACAACTGGCATGCTGCCAAATATGGCTATGTGTGCCACAGGTTCGCCATCACAGATCTAGAGAAATAATCACAATTTTATTGACTTTGTGATTGCAGGTATGGTATAGTGTGAATGGGGAACATAATTTGTAATTTGCTTGGATTACAAATGGATATTTGTTTCATGTCATATTCAAATCTGATATCATTCTTAAGATACAAAAAATAATAAAAATAACCAAAAGTGGCCAGCAAACCACATATAAACTGCAAACTATATAAATGTGTTTTTACAGTGTTTATATACCTTCAACAAACCATGGTTAATTACTTTTGATTGTAATTCTATGTTTATTGTTTTTAGAAATATTCATGTGGTACCATTTTATAGCTTGTAATGTTGAAGGCACTCAAGGTGGGCAGCAGATAAATTAGATGGAGGGAGGGAGGGACGGACAGATGATCAGACAGACAGGAATTTGTTATACTTCAGATCCTTTTTTAAGGCTTCCTATCCTTGGCATGCCTTAAACTTTTAGCAGCAAATAATCTATATTTTGATCATTCCACCCTTTCTGAGAAAAAAAATTAATCAAACTAATATAACTTGGAAAAAACCTGTTATGCTGTGGAAAAATATATTTTATCCTGGCTATCTTCCAATTTGGAGAAACTTAGGAGATAAAGTTCTGATGGACCTGGGTGGAAATCAAGTTTGAAAAGAACTTCTATAAATTCCTGAAGCAGCCAATGAGATGGTTTGGCAATGACAGCTTCATAGAACTAGAATGAGATGAGAAATGTGGGCCTTTGGTTTTTGGCTACACTACTGGCCTTAGCTCAGGGCTGTCAAACTCATCATCACGGCGGTATCATTTAATGTATTGGGACTTCCCCCCTACACTAAACCAGGTGTGGGCGTGGCCAATGTATGATGCATCCGGGCCACCAGCCAGGAGTTTGACCGCCTTGCTTTAGCATCTTTGGGCAAACAGTCCACAATTTTGCATCAACACAATGCTTTATAGAACCTGGGGAGGGCGAAAACAGCCCCCCTGGAGGTCCTCCGGAGACTTCAGGAGCTTCTCTGAAGCCTCCGGAGTGCGAAAAACCAGCCCTACGGTGAAACCGGAAGTTTGGGAATAGACTTCCAGTTTGCTCATAGGGCCGGTTTTAGCCCTCTAGAGCTTTCAGGGAAGCCTCCTGAAGGCTCCAGAGGGCTAAAACCTGCCCTACAAGCAACCCTGAAGTGACTTCCGGTTTGCTCGTAGTGTTGTTTTTTGTTCTCCGGAGCCTTCAAGGAAGGCTCCTGAGGGCTCCTGAATGCTCTGTAGGGCTAAAACCGGCCCTACGAGTAAACTGGAAGTCCGTTCCCGAATTTCCAGTTTGCCCATAGGGCC